GAATCTCCTGATTTCCCTGGCACTTGACAGGGATGCTGCAAATGGCTATAAAAGCAGGCCAGTTGAGTGTCCGAAATACAGGTGTGTGATTGCAAAAATCAATGATCAGTTGTAACTTGGGAACCAGGTTGTAAGTACCTTTGGGGCAGTTTGTCTTAACTTTGGTCATTAAGCGACTGTTGTAAATCAAGGATTACCTACAACTATAATCAGAGGATCTTTCTCTAATATCTATATCTTTATTATCATAGATAAAACTGTTTGTCTTAAAGCAATTATTGTTAATATTATTAATACTATGAGTAGTGATATTAATAATGGCATTAATAGTTCTCTCTCCCTCACAGGAAACAGGTACCAGTACCAATATGCTTGTTTGTTTTTAATAAATTAAAATGTCATATTCCTGGTTTAAGAATAATAATTCTATATTCTCAAATTGAATTAGGCTGATGTAATTGGATTATTTTCTGGTTTCTTTTATTACTTTCAGGTGATTCACAGCATTATGCTTCCTTATGCAATAATTCAAATAATGGTGACTTGCAGCACGCTAGATCTAATGTGTCTCACATCACTATAGATGGTGGCCATCTGATGAGCAATATGAAATCAGGTGTTAGGGTGAATCCTATTATGTCTTCCCAACCAAGTGGTAAGATGTTTGTTGCCAGGTTTTTATGTTGAAAGAATGCCAAAAGATACACTAAGTGCATGTCTTCCAGTCAGTGAGCTCTTTATGCAATTCAGTAAATAAAAACCTTCTTTTAATTAGTGTAATATCTCGAAATCTGCCAATTTTATCAGCGTAAGTTATTTTTTAGTATGTGAAAAGCTTATGGAAATGTATATTAGGAATAGGTATTTATATTGGAGGAAATGTCAGTGGTACTTTTATTCAATAATTCTTTCTTCCTTTACTTGTATATTACTTGGGATTGTTTCTGTTTCTCTTTTCCAGAACATTCAGACTAAAAATGCTGATCAAGTTTTTAAAAACCTATACCAGAAATGAACTGATTATGATTAACAATTTTCTTTAGCTTTCAACTCTGCTAATTGTTGATGTTTAGAACCTGCCACTACTGATAAACCAGAGTGCTGGTTGATTGGTTGGTTAATCTAACAAAAGCATTCAACCCTATTGGTTGATAACCATGCCTTAACCATTCTCATAACTTTCAGTTTAGGCATATAATTCATTGAATGAACCCATATTTTGGAGGAAACAGCAGATTCTATTTTCAATTTCTTGTGATAAAAACTTATGTTCTAGTAAGACTAAGAAAAGCCCTGCTATACACTTTAAAAAAATTATGCCTCCTTCAAAGTTAAACAAAAATCAATGATTGAATCGTATTTCATTTTTTAGAAGGAAGGTGCATCTGTTGAGAAAACGAGCACTGGTTTTTAATCCTTTTTCTCTCAGTGTTCTACTAATTTTTGTTTTTCCTTATACTCTCGTTGCAAACTTGACATACAAAAGAAAGTGGGTGTGTATATATATATATAAAATTTAGGAAATCTAGCATTACCAAAATAATTTAAAGATTAAAAAGAGATTATGCATTCTATGCATTACTTTCCCCACTTAATCTAGGTGATCATTGGGTTAATTTGGGTTTATGTATAATTTGTCTGGTGTGTGTGTATGTGTATGTGTGTGTGTGTATGTATATATAGATATAGTTATAGATATAGATACACAATATTGCCAAAAGTATTCGCTCACCCATCCAAATAATCAGAATCAGGTGTTCCAATCACTTCCATGGCCCCAGGTGTATAAAATCAAGTACCTAGGCATGCAGACTGTTTTTACAAACATTTGTGAAAGAATGGGTCGCTCTCAGGAGCTCAGTGAATTCCAGAGTGGAACTGTGATAGGATGCCACCTGTGCAACAAATCCAGTCGTGACATTTCCTCGCTCCTAAATATTCCACTGTCAGCTGTATTATAAGAACGTGGAAGTGTTTGGGAACAACAGCAACTCAGCCATGAAGTGGTAGGCCACGTAAACTCGTCCAACATCAGTGTGTGACCTCACAAATGCGCTTCTGGAAGAATGGTCAAAAATTCCCATAAACACACTCCTAAACCTTGTGGACAGCCTTCCCAGAAGAGTTGAAGCTGTTATAGCTGCAAAGGGTGGACCGATGTCATATTGAACCCTATGGATTAGGAATGGGATATCACAGTAAGTTCATATGCGAGTAAAAGCAGGTGAGCAAATACTTTTGGCAATATAGTGTATATAAATATATATAGATATATGTATAGAAGTTTTCAAAATAGCTTATAACAAAAACATACAGTTAAAAATAGCTTGATAAGACAAATTTAAGATAATCAGTTCTATTTTTTGTGAGGCTTTTGCATTACTTTCAGCCCATTTTGCTTTTGCAAGACGAAAACAAATTAATGAAAACAATGAAAATAAACGCAAGGCTCTTTTAGAACAGAGGAGACAAATGTCAGCCTCTTTGGCAAGAAAATCTACTGGTGTTGGACAGGTAGGTCTAATAAATTATTGGATCAAAATATCAAAAATAGCTTTCGGCCAAAACATCACATTAAAAAGTCCCATAAGTAAATACAAAATATTTGGAAAAGAATCCAGAGAAAATAGATGTAAAGCAAACTGGATCTAACAATAATAGCAAGTTATGACATTTATATGTATTTTATTTGTACAAGCATTAAAAAACATTGCCATTGCTTTTATCAATAGTAACACCATCAATACACTGCCTTTTTTAACCAACATTATTTGTTTTCACCTAATGGTACATATTTTACATGTAATCACTACAGAGAGTAAACTGTTTCATGTAAATTTTACATTAAATTTCGAACAGACTTGTAATTCATTTTGATTACATTTTTAAAAACAGCTTGACAATTTTTTTACATAGAATATATCACAAGCCCCAATGCAAGTGCATTCTCAGTGTATGTTCGAGCCAGTCCGAGTCGCAAGTGGTGTCAATATTTCTGATGAAGGTAATGCAGCATATTTCAATCTGATTTGGGATCTAAATAATTAGATCATCATTAATTCCTGTAGGTGTCATTCTCCATCTTTATTAATTGTCAGGGTTTCAACCAATGCTTAAATAAAACCAGGAGCCTCAAGCCATTGTGCAAGAAAAATCCAGTTGTTTATTAGGAGAGCCATATCGGCACAACCTAGATGAAGCCAGCTCTGACTTCACCCAGCTCATGTCTTGCCTCTGACCCTGTTGCCCCCTCCCCCCAGGGTGTGTCATCAGTCACATTCCCCAGTGAAGCAATTTCACATGTTTTAGAAGTCACTTCCTTCCGACTGTTGGAAGTCTCCATGGAAATGGCCTTGACTTTGGCTGGCCAGGATGTGTTTTGTTTTGACTGAGGTGTGAATTCCTCAGTGCAGCTGCAAGGTGCGATTTCCCATCCCTCTGCCTATGGCAACTCAGGAGCAGGTCAGGAAAGCTTCGCCAATTGACATTAATACTGATTGGGACTGGCCTCGGAGGACGAAGGTGAACCAACACAAAACTGTGCCACCTACCCCCAACTCCCAAAGTCAGCCCAAAACGATATTATGGTCAATGGTACTGAAAACTGCTGAGAGTTCAAGAAGAGCAAGGATGGATGCACAACTTCCATCAGACTCCCACCATAAATTGTATATAAGGACGACCAGTACTATTTCTGTCCCATATCCTAACCTGAGACCTGACTGAAAAGGGCCCAGATAATCCATTTCCTCCAGGATCCCACCAGGGAAGGTGGGAGAACTAGACAAAATGTGTTCAGAATAATGGGATCCAGTGATGCTTCTTAAGTCAGGGCACACTAGCGTCTTGTTAAAAAGAGCTGGAAACACCACTTCTAACAAGGATGAATTTACTATTGCTGGGTTCCATCCGAGAACTTCCTGGTTGGCCTTAACCAGCCAGGAGAGGCATAAATCTAATTCATCGGTGGTAGTGTTTGCATTCCACTTCTTCGTGTCCAGCTGAATGAAGCCATTCCCAGATAACTGAGTAAATCCATCCCCTGGGCATTTCCACAGGACTTGCACCACGCTTGCAGTCAACTAGAAGCGAAGCCGAACAATTTTATCCTCCCGATGCCCAGAGAATTTCTCCACACAGCCTTGCAAGTGAATCTCCTGGCCACCATTTCCAAGGATAAGAGCAGAGAAGTTTTGACCCTTTGCTGCGCTTACTGCTACGAGTTTAATCTTAATAGCAGCTTTAACCTGTGTTTGGTCAAATTCGTTTTTGTTCTTCCCAATTGTGTACTGAGAATGTCTTGTATTGATAAATTAAAATAAACATTACACTGGAATTCCGAAAAGATGAAGGTATGCATTTGATGTACACTGACTCAGATATATAGATACGCTACTGTCAAAGAAACAGAAACAGCCCTGAACTGAGATGATTTAAACAGTCAATATGATGTGCTTTGAGGGGAGAAAAACTATTCATTGTCTATTTATGTTTCATGCATTCTGTTTCAGCAGCCCTCCAATATGATACTAATAGTGCCACAATGGCACTTTTCTTAGCTGTGTATAAGCAGTTGTTTAAAAACCTATTGCAATAGTTTCAAAACTTTGAAAGGTACATTAAAAAAAAAACATTAAATGCAATTGCCAACCCAGATATTTCTAATGCACCTTTCTTAAAAGCTTTTCACAGTATATATTTTTGTTCTAAAATTCAGATGGTACTACCCAGTACTAATACCAGAAAACCTTGTGAATTTGTCAGCTGCAGAAGGTGAAATTTTGACTGGTTTGGATACACCGCAACCATATAGGCAGATTGCAGTGCGAAATAGACCACCACGGCAAGGAATGAGCGCTCTGTCATTTGAAGAGCACAAAGTTCTTCAGTCCCTTGACCGCATCAACCACCGGCTACAGAGTAGGTATTCTGAAAATTATGCACTCAATGACACCAAGGTGATTTGACAAGTCACGTAAAAGTAAACAAGTATGATTCTCTTTTTTTTTTTGCCTTATGTTCATTGCCAAGCAGGAATTTCAGGTCCAAAAGTCACTCTTGATGTGAAACGCAGGTAGGATGTTTCACTTGAGTAATTAAAATTAGTCATAACATATTACTTTGAGTAGGTTTTTTTAAAAAACTGTGACGCCAAAGGAGCAGTCTCTAAGTCAGTGGAATTGAATGACTGCTAAGATGTACTATTTTCCTCCCTTGGAAAATTAAAATCTGTAGTACTATTTGCTCAGGTATTATTACGATAATATATTAGCATTTTAAGGCAAAACATACTTTTCTCCTATTTTAGAAATTTACCACCAATCAGTATAATACTCTTTGGGGATCAGCTGATAGCCCTGTGTGCTCCACAAATATTGTTTAGGAGATCTGAAATTAAGCAGAAAATATTAATGGAGAGGAAAAGAGGAAGAGAATTTTTAAAAATGAATAAGCCATTGCCATTTTTCCTTAAACCCATTTCTATCGAGTTATCTCATTATATATTTGGAAGACAGAAATAAATACATGTTTTGATCTGCAACTGATCTGTAGTAATCCTGTTCAAACAAGAGGACGGGAGAACCAAAATGTAATAAATGTATGATTTCATTAACATGTAGATTTTATTAAATATAAATACAATTAAATCTGATTAATATTATTTATCCCCTCCATTTAGCAATTCTTCCCTTCTATAACATTTTTAATTGTAATTTGATGGTAGCGTTGAAGTCTTAAAGGTTTATCAGGCTATTTACCACGACAGTAGAATATTCAGCCCTATAAAGAAGAAGATGATGATGATATGGAGCTTCAGTTCTAAGTCATGTGAAGGATGATAGATTAGTGGAAGCTGATTCTAAATCAGTATCACCTAAAAGTTGAAAAATAAAAATATACAATTATGTTGGTTGTTAGATCTGCATTGTATCAGCAGGTGGCGGTACTCGACAACCTCGTCAAGGCTCAGCAGTTCAGCAGGCCCTGGACTGAGTATTACTGGGATGGGAGACTTCCAGGAGTGCAGGCTAGAATGGGAAGCCCAGAAATGGGTAATGTCAGTCCATTTTCATATGGCTGTCAAGAAGGCTGCACAAGCAAGTGTGACTCTAAAGAGATTTAATAAGTTATTAAATAACGATTGATAAACAAACATTCTCCTTAATTAAAATTTAGTTATTTCAAAATTAAAATGAAGTTTGATTCCAAAATAAAATGCTTTACACACATGCACCAATTTAAATACAATACTCTAGATCACATAATATTCAAGGGAAAGACTATACAGGCCACAAGTTGTTTCTTACCATACAATTGAAGTTTTGTAATTATTTTATACTCTCTTAGATGTTCATGAAACAATTAACAAAAACCCATCTTCTACAAGTGTTTTGCAGACTATTTCCCCTTTGGTAAGCATATTCGTTTAACGTAACATTAACTAACATTATAATATTATAAGCTAACTATATTAAAACTTAAGAGTTTCCAGATACATAAAGCTTGCCACTGTTAGAATGAGAATGACAGATTTGGAATTTTGTTCTCAATCTAATCCACCACAATTTATTTCCTCTATTGCCTAGTCATATTTATAACAGCAAGTGTGATGCTGAAAAGGAATTGATGACTGCTGCTACGTGAGAGCCTCAAATCTTATTTATCAAGTGGGAGCTCCATACATACCAAATATGTGCTCCTGTATTATTGCTTTTTGTCCATTTCTTTCACTGACCCTTAACTCCCTAAGTTTTCAATATTCAGATTCCAGTTAAAAGGAACAGTAGAGAAGAGACCAGTTGTACTCATGAAGTATGTGTGTTCCATGTGCTATGTGTCTACTTCTAGAGTCACTTTATATGGAGAGGAATTAGGCTATAAAAGAGAAAAAACAACAGTCCTTATGAAATTAGGCTGTCTGTACACACTGTCTGGGGGAGAGGGGGGTAATTACTATTTCAAGCCAGAGACCAGTACAAAGTACATAATTTATTACTCTAAAGTAAGGGAAGTGTAATACAAACAGAACTTTAATGGGAAGATCAGCAATTTAGCCAGCAATTGAAATAAGGTCTGCATAGAAGGAAGGAAGAGGGGGAGAATGAAATTGCTTCCTAATAAGAAAAAAAACCCTATATTTTTATAGTTTACTTCCATTATATGAGGGAAGGGAAAAACAAGAGTGAGAAAATCAGAAGAGCAAATCACAAATATTACCTGCTCTAATATGGACGCTGGTAGATTTTCAGTCAACTTCCTGCTTGGGAATAGAAGGTCAGATTTGAGAGCAGGCAGTCTGGATCCTTCTTGAGTTATTTGCAATAAAAGAGAGAACACTTGAGCCTTGCAGGTTTATTCATGCGATATCAGCATTTCAGCCGAAATACTCTAAGGGAGAACATATATTTTGCCAAACTATATATTACTGGAGCCCTAACTAAATACAACATTAAATAGTAAAGATGTGGGTGACAGCTAAGGAGGGAAAGTGGGGGATAAAGTTGAAGAAAAACTGAATCAGACCTCTATTTTAGAATTCCCTTTAAACATCGTTTCCCCTAAATTAAAGAATAGAGATAGCCATAAAAAATTAGAAAGGTTGGCCCATAGGTTTACTTAATGTACCTTATCTAGAAAAAAAATTCTACCCTATTAAAATGGACTAACATCCAAGTAAAATTATCATCTGGGAATAGAGAATAAGAAAGAATAAAACTATATTGATATTATAATAAGGCAAATTTCAGTCTTTATATTACAAATAGATATTCAACATTTCAAATAAATTAATATTGAACTTGCAGCTGAACTGCAGATTTCCTATATTTTCTTTATTTCCATGCAAATATTAGTAGGTAGTTTGCTTTATTAAGTGGGACTCTGGCTCAGTGGGATTTCTGATTCTCTACTTAGCTCATAAGGGATGTGGTGGGTCAATGGCTAAGATGCTGAGCTTGTCGATCAGAAAGGTTGGCAGTTCAGCGGTTTGAATCCCTAGCGCCGTAGCTCCTGTTACTTGTCCCAGCTTCTGCCAACCTAGCAGTTCAAAAGCATGTAAAAATGCAAATAGAAAAATAGGGACCACCTTTGGTGGGAAGGTAACAGCATTCCGTGCGCCTTTGGCATTTAGTCATGCTGGCCACATGACCACAGAGATGTCTTCGGACAGCGCTGGCTCTTCGGCTGAAATGGAGAGGAGCACCACCCTCTAGAGTTGGAAACGAAAAGCATACATGTGGGAGGGGAACCTTTACCATTTAGCTTTATTAATTTGGGTTATAATCTGTTTATTTATTTGGAATAAATTCAACATGACTCAAACATATATAAAATTATATGATACATCACTTTCCAATTTCTGTTCATCATTATTTTTCCCTAGGATTGTCTTTTGCTGGCTTTGGTGTATTTTATTTTTTCTACTACCATACTAGCAAATATGTTATCCATGTTAACTTGGATTTAAACTCATATTTGCAAATGGCTTATACAATTCTGTGGGTGTTTTAATGTATATTTTTTAATGTTTGCTTTTTATTCTTACAGGTCACATCTCCCTCATATATGGATATAATGCCTCACATGCAAAGGTATAGGAGCATATTGGATGCCACCCATAGCTTAAAGCAAAGAAGATACTGACTTGGCCCTAATAAAGTTTGCTGAACTGAGATTTATATAATATATTCTCAGTTGCTATATTTGTAACATAATTATTTGCAACGTGCCTTAAATGCTATTTTTTCTAAAAAAAATCTTCAAAATAAAGATGTAACACAAGTATTGACTGCTTGTTACCTAGTTTACATTTAGGGCAAAATTATTTTACATATGCACTTTACTGTAAAATGTATTGTATTTTTTTAAGAATGGAAATACCTCAATTTTAAATGAGTGGCAGTTTGTAAATTTACTGTAAATTTTAATTAAAAGAAAAAGAAATTATTTTGCTACTGATTAAAATTATGTATGAGTTCATCTCCTAACTTTATGGTTTTCATTAAACTCTAATAAATGTCTGCTACATTTTCAAAACACGTGTTGTAGAAAATGAAACTCTTATCATCTAAAAATACTCACCAATTTAATAATTTCTTTCCCATTTGACTGCTCCAGTTCTAACTACAGAAGTGATGATAGTCAGAACAATAGTGATAACACTTTAAAAACTCAGTGTAGTACTAATATATACCAGTAGCTAGCTCAATTCTTTGAACATATCTTTAAATTGAAATTATGTGGAAACATACCATAATCTCATTTTTTGCAACACAGGGATATTTCAAAAATTGACAAGACATCTGTGAAATCCATCTTTGGCATAAAAAATATGATTCAACTTAATACTTACATCTTTAACAATAGTTTCCCCCAAAGTTGTAGCAACATATAATAAGTTGAAGCCAAATTGTTTTTTAAATATTCTTTGGGGAGTTCAATAAACAGAAATGAAGTGTTGTAGGGTTTCCTGCCTAAGCAGGGGGTTGGACTAGAGGACCTTCAAGGTCCCTTCCAACTCTGTTATTCTATTCTAAATAAGTTTTTTTGCTGAATATAGTTAATATTTTAGTCATTGTTCAAGATTTAAGAGTTCCCTTCCATGTGCTTTCTTGATATAGTATTGTATCATAATATTTCAAGTATTATATCGAAAACTGCTGCCCACAAAATGAAAACTTAGTAATCTTTTCAATCTTTGTGAAATATTCAGGATTAAGGATCAGCTAATGTATATGGAATGAAATATGCCATCATGCTCACAAATGATTTTGGATTTATCCTTGGAGTATTCTTCATGGAAATCCAGCCATAATTTGAGCTCTTACAGGTTAAACTCCAAGATTAGTTCAACTGATTGGAGTAGAGTCAGCTACTGAGGGAAAGGAAACTTTCCAATTATTTTATTTTTTTACTATATTTCAAAATTTAATAAACATATTGAGGAGGGGTTCAAAAATCAATCTTCCAGGTACTTCAGATCCTTGATGAATATCGTGACCGTAATGCCTTATTCCTTTTTTTAAAATATCAATTCCAAAATGTCATTGTATAAATAATAGATCCAGATGTTGTACCTTTCTATATTTTACAGGTTTCATTTAAAAAAAGTGCAATTCAGAGGTTAATCCTTCTAGGCAATATTTATTTACTTGCTTAAAACACATACCCGGTAGTTGCCCATCTTGTTGTAACCAATCAAAAGTTAAAACAATAAAAGCATGCTGTCTGATTTTCACCGATCAGCAGTGTGTACACCCTGTGATACCTTCCATCCTGATTTGGAAGCTCACAACTCAATGAAGCATGTTTTCAAGGTGCTGAAACTGGTCAGGAATCAAATCGCTTTCTCCTTTCTTACAATAACAGTGCTATGTCAGACGGATGCTGATTGTGGGAACTCTGGATCCAAGCCAATGCTTTCTGTAGCAAAATGCAGGAAATGTGGAATTAGCAGGAAGCACAAGTACAGTACTCCCTGGATTCAGACTATTTATGAGATATGAATGTGCTCGCAACTTCATCATATTTCTGAGTTGGTGGCTTTCAGATTAATTAGCTTGTCTTCATTTGGCTTGCTATGAATCTTGTTCTATCGCTGTTTACTTTTGTCACCTTCAGACAAGATTAATTCAATATCCCATAAGTGGGACAGGGTTGGGTAGCTGCCAGCGTTGCTGCCGGTTCGCTTCATGTGCGCTTCGCTGTGTGTGTGTGTGCAGTTGACTCAGTGATGGGTTCTGGATCCCGGTGCAATGGGGCCAGGTGTCCACCACATGCACGTGTGCAG